CGGAAAGCCTCTGACCCGCAGCTTCTACGGCTTGGACAATGACGCCAAGGTCTACACCTACTACGAGGGTTGCTCCGACGGTGGCCGTCAGGGTATGAGTCAGATCCAGCGCTACGGTGACCAGTACGATGGTGCTATCATCGGTGCCCCTGCCTTCCGTTACGGTCAGCAGCAGGTCAACCACCTGTTCCCTAGTGTGGTCGAGCAGACTCTCAACTACTACCCCCCTACCTGCGAGTTGGAGAAGATCGTTAACGCCACTATCTCTGCCTGTGATCCCCTTGATGGACGCACCGACGGTGTCGTCTCCCGTACCGATCTCTGCCAGCTTGAGTTCAACCTGACCTCCATCATCGGTGAGTCCTACTACTGCGCTGCTGAAGTCAGCACCTCTCTCGGCTTCAACTTCGACAAGCGCAGCGATGGTACCTCGACTTCCTACACCCCTGCTCAGTCCGGAAATGTCACCGCCGAAGGTGTTGCCGTGGCTCAGGCTATTTACGACGGTCTGTTCAACTCTGCCGGTGAGCGCGCCTACCTGAACTACCGTATCGGATCTGAATTCTCGGATGGCGCGACCACCTACGACAACACCACCGGTACCTGGGGCGTGGACATCCCCTCCACTGGCGGTGAATTCGTCACCCGTTTCATTGAACTTGTTGAACTCAGCAACCTCGACTCCCTCACCAACGTGACCTACGATACCCTTGTGGACTGGATGAACGTGGCCATGATCCGCTACATGGATACCCTGCAGACTACCCTCCCCGATCTGACCAACTTCAAGGCCGCCGGCGGTAAGGTCATCCACTACCACGGCGAGAATGACCCCAGTGTGCCTACTGCTTCTTCCGTGCACTACTGGCAATCCCTGATGAGCATCATGTACCCCAGCCTCGGATCCTCCAAGGCCATCGAGCAGATGAAGGAGTGGTACCAGCTGTACTTGGTCCCCGGTGCTGCTCACTGCGGTCGCAACACTCTTCAGCCCAACGGTCCCTTCCCCGAGGATAACATGGAGACCATGATCCAGTGGGTTGAGCAGGGTATCCAGCCCACCGGTCTGAACGCCACCGTCGATGCTGGCAAGTACGACGGCGAGGTCCAGTCTCTGTGCCAGTTCCCCAAGCGTCCCATCTGGAAGAGCAACAAGTGGGAGTGTGAGTCCGATGACGAGGGCGCTGACACTTTCTACTACGAATTCCCCGCCTTCAAGCTTCCTGTTTACTAAACTGACAAGTCACTGGTGATTTGTTAGCTTTACTTCATCAGGAGGTGGGAGATGACCGGGGACATTGGGAAAGCCATTTGTATCTAGTATATACTTTACACGAAGATTACTTTTTAATTCAGATTAATACTTCGTTCTGCATCTGGGTCAAGCTCTGCTGCACTTAGAGGGTAGGATAAAAATCGTAGATACCTCCTGCCATACAGCAGTATCACCCTCACGACACCGACAACACAGCAACTCCCCACGGCGGCATATCCACCGAATATGTCCCCCTCGAACTAGTCACATTCTTCACCGTCGGCTGCACAGTAATATTATGCACGTAATTCGTCGCATTCTGCGACGCATACAGCATCTCCACATGCCCAGTTTTCGTATGAGGCACCTTCACCCGAACACTCTGATTCTCGGAGCCGTAATTAGCCAACTTCACAAAATACGTACTATTCGTCCTCGACGCAACCCAGTACAGCGGACCAAACGTGGCAGTTGTATTCACAGGAAGAATCGTATCCCCTCGATTCGTAGAGAACATCCGTTGGACATAGTATGACGTCGACGGAGTCAGAGAGTCGGGACTGGAGTCGAAGCCGAAGAGCGTTGGCTTGATGCTTGTCAGCGAAGGCGACTTACATACAACAATCTTTGGACTGAAAGGGGCAGCCTCACCGACCACTGCGTATACCCGAAATGCTGCAACAGCGGCGCATACGCCGCCATTTTCACAACATCCGAGTTTCTCTCCAAACCAATCATATGCGCCGCTTCACTGCAGCTGCATTGCATAGAGGACCAGAAGATGCCATCTGCCTCGTCGGTATCTCGACACCCGTATTCACCTACCATGATTGGTTGTGTGCGTGGCTGGTTATCCCAGTAGTTGAACATGGCGACAAGGTCATCTGGTTTGCGATAGTAGTGGTAGTCGTATATCAGACCGGGTGGGGGGTCGATCGGGAGACAGAGGAAGTCAATGTTTGATGCGATGAGGGTGATGTTGGGGTAACTGTTACTGATGGCGTTGTAGATCTGGTAGAAGCGATCTGGGTATGTGTCGCATCCGCCGGTGAAGTCGTCTTCGTTGCCGATTTCGATGTAGTTTATTGACCAGGGTTTGCTACGCCCGTTTTGTGCTCGCATGCTTCCGTAGGTAGAGTTGGAGGGTCCGAGGAGGTACTTGATTGTCAGCTTGGGAGGGTAGTGGTGATTTAAGGGAGGCATACCTCGAGCTCGTTCATGATGTCGTCGATGTACGGCTGGAGTTCGTCGCCGGATATGATGCCCCCGTATGATTTGCCGTCCCAGACGGCGAGGATGGGTTCCATGTTCATGTCTTCGCACCACCAGAAATATTCGTCCAGACCTTTATTTCTTAGTACACGCTCGTGGGGGTGAGAGTTGAAAAAGGCTTACCGAGCGCGTCGGTATTGGGGTAGAACCAGTCGCCTATACATCGATTAGTGTTGTCATCCGTGGTGCCGGTGCTGGGGCCTACCCTCTCTCCCGGGACGATCAACAACAGGCCCAATAGTGAGGTTCCACTGCCACCGGCTGTCGATCTGCAGTCCTTCCCTATCCACTTGTTAGGGGATATTCGTAATTAGGGTGGTTACTCACAAATTATTGCCACCTGGAAATCGCAGAAAAGACGGACGAATTTTCTCTAAGAACGTTGCAACATCGTTCCGTAGCCCATTTGACCTGCTATCCATTAGTAGGACATTGATAGCTTAGAGTGAAACATACCTCGACTTATACGTGGGAGGGAATAATTGCACCAGACCAAAATTCAGCGTTCCGCCAGCCATCTTCGATCCATTGAACAGCAGGCGCCACTCATTGTCACCGTCAGAAGATGTGCTGGAACTGAACGAGGTTTGATAATGCGTGAACTTTCCCCAAGAGCTCTTGACGGTAATATTATGCGAAGCATAGATAGTATCATTTGTTGACCCAGCAAGCTGTACCATAATGGTTCCTGAGTAATCACCCATCATCCAGAACTGGCACGAGTACGTGGCGTTCATCACAGGTATACCATTGTACCCTGTATTGGCAAATCCTACAAACCCGTCTGCTTCGAAATCTACAGATACCTGCAAGGAAGAGGTGATGGCACTGCTGACCGGGTTGATCATGTCCTGCATGAGGTCGACATCGCCGATGGCCTTGTATCCGGTTAGCCCGGCATTGTCTCCCTGGAAGCCGTTGTTCTGGAGCAGTTGCCCGTGAATGCCACCATCACCTGAGTATACTTAGCAGTATTCTACCAGGTGAGGTAGTTGGGGAGTACCTGAATGGTCCATTTCCTAGGCGAATGTTACTAATATATTCATTATGCCTCCGTCGAAACCTACCTCAAACATAACCCCATAAAGCAGCGGACTAGACTGATTCCCACCCGACTCCTGAACAGTCAACGTGATAGGCGATGCCACACTCCCGTTCGTACCATTATCCCTTGTGATTAAAACAGGATATTCATAGCTAACCGGCCTCAGCATGTGGAAATACGTCGTGACAGCCACATATAGCCATTTTGCGACCCCTATCATAGTGTCGCAGATTCAGCTTTCCCACCAGTGTACTCATTTAGGCGTGTCTTGTACAGGAAAATGGCAGAACAATAATGCGGGTTCAAGGCTTTGTTGACGGGGTTAGCAGCGTTGCATTGGTGTCCCCGGTCTTCCGTGATGACATCATGAATGTTGATGTACCGCGGTGCGGAATGTCGGATGGATGCGATGAATCTCATACTTCACCCCTAATCATGATGATTCCGATGAATGTGTACAGGTTGTAAGAAGTTCAACTTTATTGTTGGGGTGTAGTCGTCAGGGGTTGCGGGGTGGTCTGCCGCCGGTTCCTGGCACAGCGACTGAATAGATAGATAGATAAATAGATAGATAGATAATGGATTACCCTAATACTAGCACGGCCAGGGCGCTCTTACAGGGCGCCTGCAGCTAAAATGAGTTTTTAAATTACAGAATCAAGTCAAAACAGGACTCTATCCCTCTCTCTATATCATCTCTTATAGTATTATAGTATTACTTAGATATTATTATTTAAATATAAACTATTTTTAATTTTGATTTAATAAATCAGAATACTTATAGCTAAATTCTTATAAATATCTTATGGGTACTAACTACTACGGGGGTAATCCCCTGTGAAATTTATTTAATCTTATCTATATATTTTTCCTATATTTCTTCTACTTCAATTGTGCCATGGCCGCAAATGTTGCTATAGCACCGCAATGCATGTATAGACCACTCGTTTGGGCATTTCCAGCTGCGGTCAATTACGTATCTGATCTGAGAATGCCCCCGAAACATATACACATGCCCTCGAGGCTCATGTAGAACTCGCCTGCGTATGGCATCGTGCTTTACCCTCGCCTCCTCTTTTTGTTTCAAAAAAGTTCCTGAAATTGCTGGATAGCCTTTGACGACGATGCGAGTTGGCATTCCCAGTGTGAGTTTCCACGCACGTAATGGGTCAGTACCCAGAGCTGCCGAGCTGTTGGAAGATGTCTATGTCGTTGTTCGATAAATGTATCTGGTCTGATGGTTCTGCGACCGTCTTTCTCTGGTTTAGTAGCAGGCGGCCCCACAAGCCGATAGTGTAATCGCTCAGATATACGAGTGATATACGAGTGATATCGGCCGATTTCAGCTTTTATATAGTGGGAAATACGCATTTTTGATAATAACTTATAGTAGGGGAAGATGCCGGATGGTACATATAACCTATCCTACATATTTGGTTTTCTAGAGCGGACTGACGAAGATGAAGTTGAACCATCCGTTGAGACGCGGCTCATTCAGTCATCGTTTCCCTTCTCCATAGTTACTTACCCTCCAGCTATAACATTCACTCCCCTACTCCTCCTACACATGCCGTCGATTTTTGATTCCAACCCAGCATTCTATTGGTTTCTTCGAAAATCCTTCATGAGACTCAAGCCTTGGCTGATAAAGTTTGAAGTCGTACCGATGGAACGCCGTGCCAACAATTAATGCCAATTCCATATGAGCAATATTTTGGCCCACGCACGCTCTAGGTCCATATGAGAATGGATTGAAAGAGACTTTTTGGCGCGGGGTTAACTTGAGCCAACGATCCGGCTTGAATTCTTCCACATCTGGCCCCCAGATGTCTGCGTCATGATGAATAGAGTAGCTAGGGACAGAAAGAACAGTACCTTCGGGGAAGTGATGCTCTCCATAGGATACACCATGCGGAGCCGTCACGATGCGCGGAAGTCCGATTGCCGAAGTAGAGTGCAGCCGCATTCCCTCATCAATGCATTGCCTAAGAAACTTCAAGTTCGTGACTTGAGAATGAGCGGCAATCTTTGAGTCTGCGGGAATAGCTGCGTCGAGCTCTGTCTGGAGCCTGGAGACCACGCTTCCGGGCTTAGAACGCTCACCGCTGAGGATCCAGTATATCACAGCACATGCTGTATTGGATACCGTATCGCTGCCTGCAATAAGCTGTGTCAGGGCCTCGGAGACTAACTCAGCACGAGGAATTGGGTTCCCAGAGGAGTCTTTGGCATTGCAAAGCATTTCCAGGATGTAGTTTCTCTTCTTTCCCTCAGAATATCCTTTTTGGGTTGCTTCGAGACGCTTCGCAACGGAATTTTCAGCTATGCCGTGGAGGTCTGCAACAGAGCTCAAGCCTTTGGTGAAGAATGGATCCGGAAGGTATTTTGCAAAAGGCCGTATTTCAGGGAGCAACCCAAGAGTTGAGCTGACTTCTCCTCTTCGATTGAGGGTCTCGGCCCCCGGAACATAGGTTATAGGCTTTCCTGAAAGCGATGCCTCACATTCATCACGGCCACGAGACACCATTCCGAATGGGGCACCAAATGCGAGGTCGCCGATTATGTCGAAAGCCAGAAATGTACACCACGGCATCATATTCATACGCGAGAAGCCGTCTGGTTCTGGATGAGTTGCAATATTGTCTAGTTGGCGGACCCATCGTTCCAGATTTGTGCTCATGTGCGGCTCGAAATCGTGCACAGCACCTGGGGAGAATGCATGGGCGATGATCTTGCGTTTTCTCGTGTGTTCCCCGCGGTGACGGACATTGAAAACTCCAGGGACCCCAGAAACGAAGGCTTCATAAAATTCACTAATAGGGAGTCAGTCGATAGATAAAATATTATAATAAGGCACTTCACACGTACTCTTTTAAGAAGCCGTTTCCGTGTGCATAGACAGTATGCAGCCCTTCAGGCGTAGCAATTGAGACATGGTTAAATCCCACCCGAACTATCTTGCCGTATTTCCGATGAGCTTGGTCAACCCATGCGTATTTCTGACCCTTGCGTGCACCGAGGCCTAGCCAGATGTTGCTAAACTTGCAAATCAATGGCCCGGGGATCTGCTTCAGGTGCTTATAGGTTGTGAAATATGGCACGACCCAATACGATACGGCCCACACAGGTAAGAATATTCCCAGTAAGATGAGATAGTAGAACGGTTCCATTGCGATTGGGTATTGTTGGGACACGATGTGATGGTATTAAGAACTTGGAGATGAGCAGATGAGTACGTGATCCTGACAAAGAAATCAATTCCTCACCTTTGAAATATAATTCAGATCACACCTACAGAAAAATCACACGCGGTACGTGAGCCACAGTTCCGAGTTTCCTTTGAGGTGTACAGGTCCTCTTTCAGTCTCCAACCTTCAGATCAACCAAATTCAAGGATCTATTTAAACAGTTGCAAAGTATCCTTCCATCATGGAGATGCGGATATTCCGATCCCCAGTGTAAAGGCACTCTATATGCCGAAGTCCCGAGCCGCGGTAAGAGTCTTCATCTCACGATGCTTATAGGCGGCGGAAGTTCCGACCGCCTCCCGATAGCGACCAAATTTGAACTAGAGATAACGCTATCTCCACGCTATGTATCCTTGCTATCCCGTCAGCCCGTTCAAGAGTGGGGAGTTAGTTCGCAGGAATGGGGGATTCGGGGAGTACGGTATTGAATGTTGAGATGAGGATGTTTCCCACTCTCGCTTCGGCGTCGGAATACTTCTGTTAACTAGATCTCAGATAACGAAGTCCATGTCGACAGTTGGTTGATAAGAACATGATATAAGCCCGGCTGCTTTTGTAATCAACACTGTGCCGTAGTGTCCTTCGCCTTCTCTGCTGCAACTAACGGCCTTTTAAGATGATATGAAACCTCCTTCTGGTCCGAAGGCATGTAGCGAAAAGTCAAACTATGGGTGGATCGTCATCTTGCGGTCTTATCTGAGACGGTCTGTTCCGCCCTAATAAACGCTTCAAGTGGTTCCTGGACCTGTTTGTTTGGGTTGAACTTACATAATGTAATTTGCAGACTGGATGCATGCTGTGCACCTGGAGTTGAAGCCACCTGGCACATCGTCCAGGAACCAAGCAGGCACCACTAAAGGTTCTCTGGAATTTCACTGAATTCTCGTACGTGATGTGTAGTTTTACGTAGCAAGGTACAGTACTATACAATATGCATTTTACGTGCCCTCAATCGTAGCTTCGTGGTTCAAAGTGTTACTACTATCTTCTTGTCAGGTGAGATAACCCCATAGAAACTCACGCAGTCCAAAACGCCTTCCCATACCAATGTTGGGACTGGGGGGATGGCACCCAAACCTTCGTTAATCGTGGCTTAATGTGGTTTTAAACAAGTCGAGGTACGTATGGACTGGGACTCGGTAACTGTGGCACGCTCAGGAACACGGTGGATGTTGGGGCCCATAGGCAATGGGCAAGGCTAATGCAATGGCTTTCCCAAGGGATTGCTAAGGGGGAGTCAAAACGCTGATCGGAGTTTTTCGACAGCTATGGTCGACTGGTCCACTCTAATCTTGATTTAAGACGCCGGATGTTGCTAGCACTGACTGGCTCCGCCTACGTCTGGGACCCTGCATGCCAAGGTTTCTGTTCTACTTCTGGTCAATTGTAAAGAACCCGATGCAATTTGATTCCATGGCAGGGTGACACTCAGGTAGGATATAGATCCCTGGTCATCTAACTAAGACAGGTAAAGGACTTCTCAGCAGGGTGAGTCATGTTCGGACTCGTAAGAATGTCAAAATGCTAGCCCACTTCTCTAGACTAATGAGAGCTTCCTAAGAAATTTCTTCAGCACTGAAAGGTTGCCATGCCCGGGACAGGGCAGTGCTTGCGTTAGCATCACACGAGTCTTCCCACTTCAGAATCTCTCGTCGTAAGAATGTCTGAGGAAATTCACCTTCAACTAGCAATCGTACCACTGCCGCATCAAAAGCAGGGTAAGGCCTCAGGCGTGGGGGGTTATCGTGCAAGACGATTGCAATCATCGCATCCAGAGGGAAACGAGCCTTTCCAGGATAAAAAAAAGAAAAAAAAAAGAGGAAAAGATAAGAAAAACAAAAGTTAAAAGGAAGAGGGACACCCTGTCAATGCAGAGCTTCACATCGTGAACATCACCTTTGTTGTGCAGCCCAACCCAGATAAGTCATGAGACCACCACGGTTTGGATGCAAAACATGGTTTGAGGATTCAGAGGCATTCCACGATCAATGATGATATATATATCTCTAGCCAATGATCGCCGGCGTATTGAATCCGGTAACATGCCATTCCAGGCTAGCTTCACCTGAAATCCGTTACAGCCGAAATGACGTATAGTGGATTCGACGAGTTGCATTCTCAGATGCCTAGGTCTAAGGTACAATACCAGTAACAGGAATGGGTAGTTTCAAATTCGCAGAGCATCTGCCCTGATTTATTGATTTGATCAAAAGATAATCGTACGCTTCCATACAAGCAAACTAGCATTCTTATCAGAATTGATGCCACAGCGCAATGTGCCACTACTGGAACCAAGAAGTGCTTGTTATTTAAATGTCTCGTTGAAGAACATGACCTTCGACGTAGGTTGCTCATAGCTTTAGAATTTGATCACAGGTCGGAAGCGAATAGTTCTGTCTTCCATCGCATTAAAAGCAGTCGTGATCTCATCGAGAGAATACTCCTTGGTCAAGCATTTCACTCCCTGGTTAATGGCAAAATCGATTGCTTCTTGAGTTTCTGGTGCAAAGCCAGACGACCAGGTTCGCACAGAAACGCCGTACACAATCAATTTAATGAAATCCAGAGATACGCCATCAACAGCTGTTAGTGCATAGTCAGCAGAGGACCTGCTCTATTTTCTGGGGTAACTCACGCGCAATAAGCAGGATGGAGCCTCCGGGACTGACGCCCTGAACAAGTTTCTGGACCCTGTAAATCAGTTAATTCATTGACAAATGTTGGCAATGAACGGATGAGGGATTCAAGATAAATTCATACAGTTCCGGGCGTGCAACAGAATTTATAATCAAGGATGCTCCTCCGTCTTTCTGAAGTTCCTCCACTGGGTCTTCCTTTCGAGAATTGATGAACTGGTGTGCGCCAAGCGATAACGCTGCATCACGTTTGTCTTCCGTCTCTGAAATTGCCACGGTCCGATAACCCATGAGTCGGGCGTATTGGATGGCAAGGTGCCCAAGACCGCCGACACCAGAAATGGCAATTGTGTCGCCTTGGGGAACGTTGCTCTTCCGGATTGCATTGAAAACAGTGATGCCTGCGCAGAGTAGGGGTGCAAAAGAAACTGGATCAACATCCTTTGGGACCGGCACGGCGGCATCTGCCCGTAAGGTACAGTATTCCGAAACTTAATCAGTTAGCTTCGCGTCAGCTGTGCCAGGGACTTAATGGCCACCGATAAAGGTGAGGGGTTTAAGTCACATACAGCCCCCATCACGAGTGACGCCGTTTACCTCTAGGTTTTTACAAACCTGGGGCAAACCCCGCGAGCATGCCTTGCAATTACCGTCGTTACCACCGTGCCATGCTCCACCAGCACGATCCCCAAGCTTCCAGCCCTTGACATTGGCCCCAATGGCGACAACTTCACCAATAACTTCATGGCCAGGAATGATGGGATATTTTGTGCTGTAGGTTTCACCAAAGGTATCTCAGTATCTGAAGCTGCGTAGAGTGGGTTTCCGAATCTGTTTGCACGCACATAAAATCAAAGTCCCCTTTACTAGTAGCCAGATCCTGTGTATCACATTGTGCATCTAATCAGTTTGACTGTACGGAGAAACAAAGCCCCGAGACTCATACGCTATGGCAGACGCCGCAAGCCAAAGACTTGATTAAGATCTCCCCTTCCTTGGGTTGCTTCACCCGAACCTCCTTTAACAGCCATGGAGCCCTTGGTGCGTCAAGGACTACCGCTTTGCAGGTTTGGGGAATGGAAATGCTCATCTTGTCGAGAAGCTGAATATGATATTTGATGTAATAGTACGAGAACGATGAAAAGGAGATTGGGAATCACATTACAGTTGTTGCACTTCCACCGAACCTTAAATAAATCTTCTGTTCAACTTTCAGAGCTTCGCCATTTTGACATCATTGGATCGATGACATCAAAGGGATTCTACAGATCCCCTTAGTGAGAGACGATACAGATTCGAAAATAAGTCAGATAACTATAACACTGTTCCATGGGTTGATCTCCCCTCCAAGTAGAGCCGCCCGTCTTAGTGCGGGTTGCGGGCATCGTGCGGCCCGCACACAACCCGCCGTTGAAGTTTGGAACAGGTTCTTGAAAGAAGAATGCACCTGTAAGCCGACCTGCGAATTGTGACGACTGCGTCTTGATAACTGCCTCTAAGATATAGTATCCCTTACCAATCCTTCTCATCTGGTTTCCGCGATGGGCAGGTCAGGTTCCTGCACACATGCTTGGGAATTTTGGCTAAGGCGGGGCTATACTCAACAATAGGCCGCTGTGTGATCGTATCTGCGGTTGTCACATGCGCAGGTTTCTTTGACAACTTATACAAAGAGGCAAGGAGCTATTGTCTCCTGCCATCCTATAATCAATGTTACGCAGATGATGACCACAGTTCATATACTGCCATTCTCCTGTGCGAAACGAATCTAGTCCGTTAAACCCTTGGATATCCTCCCATTAGTCAAGGTTCCACGATTCTCTCCTTATGTTCCTGCTTATGGTTATGGATGCTACAGCTGAAGTACTATGAGAAGGACATAACGTCCAGAGATATTTGAAGCTCGGTGAGGCAATTATACCACCGGACTAACATGGTCTAATATTCTGACACCTTTGTAGGGAATTCTCATCCATCACAGCTCGTCTAGCAGTCCGACGAATCCGGCTTTACAGTTAACTTCACCACTGCCACGACGTTGTATCCGAATTAATAGAGAAACCCTACAAGACTAAAAAGCTGCAATCATGCGACCATTCTCCTAGAGCACATGTTTGTCGGATTCCGGTGAAAGTGGAGTGTAAGATGAAATTAAACCGCAACATGAGTGCAATAACTACAACTTTATGAGACTTTATATTTGAGATCCCGTAGCTAATGAGAGAGGATCCGCTGCTGGTGCTGGCGACTTAGTGAGATATAGAGGCTCAAGAAGGCTTCCGATGCCCATTATAGTAATGATCACCTGCTTTCCAAGAATTTTCTAGTGTTGACCGTAGTACTGTAACGTATTATATTCCTTATCTACAGACCGATAAAGCACATTTATACCCAGTCTATTACCATATAGTTTAAAATTTAATACTCATGCAGCTGGTCTATCTACTATTAACTAAGCAGAGGGATATCTTCATACTAATCCGCGTGAAGTAGAGATACTGGAACTAGATCTATGTCCTTTCAAAATAATGAACTGAATGTACACTGGTAGCTCTAGTAGATATTCTCATAGCTTATTTTAGTATGTGATATAGACGCGCCCAGTCTTATGTATCATAGCACAAGAAAGTTAGATTACATAGACGAGATCTAAGCCGATGCAGTCCAGGTAAATACACTTGACGGTGCACTATCAGATAGTGGAGCAGTTAGAGAAACAGTATATAATTGAAGTCGCTTCTGTGACCTCTTCTTCTTACTTAGAGGCATAGATCTATAATGGAATGCTTTCTTCACTTCCACTTCATAAATCTGCATAGTTCCCCTTTAGCTTCGGCAGGCAATCCTGACTCGTACTTATCATGAGGTTTAATGTATTTCAAATTGTATCATATCCTCCAAGGCTAACAGTACTAGTATAACCGACTTTGCGAGGTCTCCGACTGAGCCGACGATAAATTGAACCTTTCCCCTTCCATGACCTGCCTATATTTCCAATTGTCAAACTCTTCTCGATATTGTAGCCCGCCGCCCGTCAAATTCGTAGCTTGTGTCACTGGGTGGGAAGTGCCTCCAACACGGTAAACCAGATATGATACCTTTGATAAGATTCAATAAATCGTAATCGATATTAGCGGAAGGGGGCCCTCTGCAAGGAATTCTGGCAGCGGACCTATAACCTATCCTAGAGAACTAGCCACTGACAACCAAGGTCATATCAATCTGGAAACTATGAAGCGACGGTCTGTTCCACCAGGTTAGACAGACCTACCTCCTCTTAAAGAGTAGAATAACAGTGGAGTGGCCCAGTTTGAGTTCTCCACACCAGGTGTTCCCCAGAGCTTTTTCAATTTCAGCGAGAGTGATACTCACGCAGTCCATTTCTGTGCCCGCCTTCTCTGGATGAGCTGCTCTCCATCTTGTGACCATACTTGCAGTGCCTAAGCTATTCCATAATCCTTGCAATGATGTTTCCTTTGAACGAACCAAAAAGTCCTTTCCGTCGGATAGTATCCCATTGCGGTCCCATTCAAGGCGACGACATTCGCTCATCGGGAATGCCGTAACAAAAGGATCCAGGTGCCACGGAAGGACCAAATTATCGTAAAGATCACGCGAGAGCTGATTTGAAGGCAGTTCATAAGGCTTCAAAATATCTTCTTCAAGATGGAAAAGTGCTTTTTGCACTTCAGCCGCGTGAGGTGTTGATGGGTCTGTAGGGTGAGCTTGTTAGCAAGGAAGGACTGAACAAGGAAGTCGGACAATACTGACGGCAGTACAGTGAAGCGCATGTCCAGAGAGCTACAGTGCCTCCTGGATTCACAATCTTTGCAGCAGATACCCAAAACTTCTCCATAGAAAACCAATGTGCCTATAGTTTTGCAGAATGGTGTTTCAGCTCAAGCGGAACGGTGAAGCAGGTAGGACTTACTGCCATTGCCGAAACCAACAAGTCCACACCATTCTCGACATTCTCTAATTGAGAACAATCCTCCGCAGTCGCAACCTGGAATTCAATAGGACTATTCGACCTGGTAACGCCACCTAGACGTTGCGCAGCGTGGATCATTTCTAGCCCGGGATCAATTCCTACTGCGCGTTCAAAATGGGGAGCCAAGTCACGGGTTGCATTTCCTGGTCCGCATCCAACGTCCAGTAGAGTAATGAAACGACCGTTAGACTCTGCATGATAACGGATAATCAAGTCATATAGCTCAGCTGGATAACTCAGACGATTTTCAGCATACTGAGTTGCCTGACCACTAGTGTAACCTCGGAATGTTGGGTCAGATAAACCCACACCCCTATTATTCATCTTCAACAAATGCAGGTACAGAGAAAGGCAATGTTATAGAATTGATCAAACCGTAGTTAATAACTCTTGGTTCAGTGGATCAGCTAGGTCTATCTTATAATTAGGAACTGCGGGGTAAAAGGATGACATTGGACATGAGTTATTGACTATTAGGTAACTAGTTATTGCATGGTGACGCTAAATTCCCGAGGTTGCAGTTCACGAAATCCTTTGGACTAACATCTGATATATGATCAGCAGTACCAGTCAGACAGAATGTACTCCGTAGTTAATCACTATTTATTCAATATTATGAAGTTATTGAGATATTCTAACTCCGGAACCCGTCGGGTTTGCTAGTCCTAAACCTTCCATCAAGCCGATAAGCAGTCTAGTATAGCCTTACCCCTCCCGGGAGATGTAACGCCATAGACAGCGGGCATGCCCCTCTAATCTATAACCCCGATATTCCTGCTTAGTATTCTTGCGAGTATCGATTGATCGTTTGCAAATATGTGTACACTGACCTGGAAGCGCTCTGACGACTTTACCCCCACCTTGTGTTTTGAGAAATTTAGTCGCGGAAAGATGCGGCCCGCATGGAAGCCGCATGGCGTCTTCTTCCCTTCCATCCTCGAAATAGTAGAGGATGCATGCAAAAGCTTGCGGGCCGCTTTGGGCCGCATGACCGCCTTTGTTCAAATGTCTCAAGACTCAACCTTTAGCAGTGCCTCCACTTCGATCATTTTCCCCATACCACTCCCGTGATTATATTCGTAGATTGCTATATCTAGATCCCAAAGCATATCATTAACAGACGTCATCTGATTTTGTGCAGTCTGATCATACGTATACTTCTCTTGTATACAAATTTCCGAAGCCTTTAATGCAATTCGTCTTCCTAAAAGAAACTCTTACGGACAGTACGTTGTACTGAGTAGATTTCTCTCCCTCACCTAATATCAGATCTTTGACTAATACTAGCACTACTTCTGCCCACCAGTAATTCGCGAGCAATCGAGAAGCCTCTCTACACTTACGAGAGCGAAATTTCTGGACAGATCGAACGACTGTGGCACAGCTGTCCACCGTACAGGAAGCGACGGGTTTACAGCCGCCTGGTTTGGCCTGCATGGGACACAACACCGCCGATTGACGTCGAGGAAAAGTCACGGACACCACCTCGGTGTAGCGAGTGGGCACTTTAGACCATGTATTCTTTGTTATATAGCTTGCGAGGATATTTTTTGGGAAGTGTCTGTTTAACGTACGGTTAGAACGTTTTCCAATCCGTATTCCAATGCCGTTCACTAGGAGTGAGGCCGCCATTCGGCGACCCGCTCGCCCGACGATTCGGTTTTGAGCTTTTCATTGGGCTTATGTAAGACTAAGTCATTCAATCCGCAGGCTAACTTAGTTGGCCGCCTCGCGTCGGCGACCCCCTCTCTCTCAATTACTAGGTCATGTTGAACGTTTATGTAATCTTGCGTCATCTTGGGTTCCGAGAAGGATGGATTCAGGACTATCCCCTACAGACCGATCATTCCTTCCAAGACCCTGCAGATTCTGCTCGTGCCACTTCTCCATAACTGATAAAGCCACTGCTTTCGTTCTCTTCTTCTCTCAACACACCTGTACATGTCTCTCGCTTTAACCCCTCAACGCTCCAAGAAAGCGTGCATCTCGTGCCGACAACGAAAACGAAAGTGCGATGGGGAGCATCCCTGCTCGTACTGCCTTCGGAATGAGCATAACTGCGAGTATGAAAGTAGTAGAAAGAAGGCAAAACTGCAAAATGAGAGATCGAAACCTCACGACGACGTCTCTACCTCCAATGATACCATGGAGGTCAACTTGCAGCTGCGCCTGCTGGAGGCAGGGTCCCCTGCTGTGTTTGTTAGGCAATTAGGGTTGAAAATCAATCCTACTCAAGCCCCTCGTCTCAACTGCTACGCTTGGAACCTTGGCCTTAGAAAAGAAACCATCTGTCTTCAGTCATCATGCCTAACTGAGATTTTGACCGTAACGCAAATGCATATGATGACTACAGATTCTTCCTTCATGTGGCTCCGGTTTACAATTTTCTGGATCGCGAATACGTTGAAACTGCCATCATTAAAAGATGGAAAAATCAGTCTATAAATGACAGCCTCGACTCGATGTTAGGCGGAATCGCGGCGCTTGGGTGCCTTTTTGGTGGACAATCTACTGCTCTTGAACTCCAGATAGTCCAAACTACACGTAGCGCTCTGGAATATTCAAGCTCCCTGCCTTGTCCAGATATCGACCATGTCATTGGATGGCTATTACGTGTCATTTATCTTCGAGCCACTAGTTCTCCTCATGCCACTTGGATGGCGAGCTGTACTCTCATGCATATGATAGAGACGACAAAGCTTCATCTCGAACCTTCAGAAAATTCGATCCTGGCACAAAGCCCAAGCTTGTGCGCGCCCGACCTTCGAAGACGAATTTACTGGGTGGCGCAGCTCTTCAACATATGGGTGTCGTCAGATTATGGAAAATCTCGAGTCGAGTTACATGGTGCTTCGTCAGAGCTACCCGGGCAGATTTGGACAAAAGAACAGCAAGAATTATGCTGCTTGTCCTATTCACTAGCTCGAAAAATAAATCTTGAGCCGCGCAATGTTGGAGACAATATTGCAGAGCTTGGCGCACTTAAAGTCACCCAGCCTATGCTGCGGCTTCTACAATGCAACATTGGTTTGTGTTTTTTCCGGCGAGCACGAGCTCTTGGTCAAAATCTCTCAGATGAAAGTCTACGTTCGATCCTAAGCATGGCAGAGAATAGCCTACACGTGGTGAAAGGCCTTTCCGAGTCTCTATGTCCCTGGTGGCATATTATTAACATCCCATTTCAGATTGTATGCGTTCTTCTCATCATCGATGACGACTCAGCTTTCTGTCTCTTAGTCGAAGCCCTTGATACTCTGAAAATCATCGTAAGCCAGTACAAGACGGAAATGGTTCGGGAGTCGTACTATATTGCTTGTTTCTTGGTCTCTCAGGAACGCCAAAGACGTCTCAGGAAGCTTCAGCTTATGGACGACGCTTTAAATGGACACCAAGCCCTAGTTCTGACGAGGCCTACATTCGTTGCATCGGAAGACACTGCTCATAGTCTGGATGAGCCGGGCGCTCCGGAGGCTACCTACTTCGATGGCCTGGACCTGAACGTTCCGTTGGCTGACTACTTCTTGTTGGACAACCTATTTTATGAACCTGCAAATTGAATCGAAGTTGGGATATGCAATGAAGGAAAACTGGGAATTGCTTGGTGAGCCAGAACAGTAGGTGGCGCTTGGCTTGGCCGAGACATCAGTGGGTCTTGATTTCGTGCGCCGCAAGGGCAGCTTGATGCTGAGAACGACACGTATCAGGAATACTGCGGAAAGTCCATAATTTTCTTCTTAGCATGTTGTAGACCTCTTTTATATACATAGTTACCGGGGACATAAAAGATATGTCAGCCTGCATGGGGATATCTGCTGGCCTGGGCTTTGCTAGGTTAGCCACCATCGCCCTCAGCGTGGGTGTCACAGGCTCGCTAGGCTCGCCTGATATTGCCGCATCTGATATACAGATTGACATTCTCTCAATATTGTGGATAAGAACACAATATTATATCATGGATTCATGTCGTCGCACTTTAACAAATATTGTTTTCCACTAATTTTCTCTGAGCGCTGAAAATCCGCCCAAACCCTTCTTTCCTAGCTGATTCCTCCAGTCTTCGAGACCAAGTATGTACCCAACAATACTTAATTTGCAATGATGAATTTAGATGAACGACGCTGCAATTAGAGACAGCTTTCTCTTTGGCTGTGCGAAGTCTTCATGCCCCTGATATTGTCATAAGCCACAACAGGTATGCTAATAGGTTGCTCAACTCGGTGCTATTTTGACAACCTATAAGCATTTTTGCGTTGAGTCTCAACACTACCGTCAAAACGAAACTGGCATGTGATTAGGACAGAGCCGAAAACTGATGATTGACATGTCAGAAGTCTCGTGATATTTCTGAGCATGCAATACACATACGCATATTTGGGTCTCCAGGCTAACCTTTCTCGATTTCAAGAACAACGCCGCTAAAAGCAGGGTTAGTCAATCAAGGCATGATCGTAATAAGCGACGAGTGATTAGGATTGCGGCCCGCATGGAAGCCGCACCGCACAATTGTCTCTGAATTATTAATGATGATGCAAGCGGTGATTCTGCGGGCGCCGCGCTGTGCCGCGTCAGGTTTGATCGTCGATTAGCGGCCGAGAAACAACTTATAATCAGCCTTTGCTTGTTACATTGAAGTAAGAATTGGCAGCATTCATACGTGGCAAAGAGATTGTTCCTCCTTCGATTTTCGGAATGGCTGATTATTCGACGCCAGAAAGCGTTCGGGCCCTCAGCATTCCCGATCCGGAACTTATTAGGGTTAGTACTATTAATACTGTTCGCTATTTCCTGTCCTAATCTCTATAGTTCCTCCGAGACAGTGCACCGGCAAAAGTGGATTTCACTGCTGATAGGCATATTTTGAGGGAAAAACGAAACCTTGCGGAGAAAGAGAGAGCGGAAGCAACGCCAACCTATGGCACACATGAATTCACTAAGACGCTTGAGATGCGCGATGGTTATCAAAGTGAAGTCCGGGTTACAAAGCCAGCTGAGAGCACACCCGTTGGTTGTCCACTTATTATCTTGATCTACGGCGGTGGTTGGTTGCTGGGTTCTAACTACCAATTGATCCCTTTCGCAAGGCCCTTGGCTTATTTCTATAAAGCGACTGTGGTGACTGTCTCTTATCGCTTGGGCCCAGAGTACAAGTTTCCCATTGCCACCCAAGACATTTACGACAGCGTTAAATGGCTTGCTCTGAATGCGGCATCATTTGGTGCAAATCCAGACACAGGCTTTGTAGTTGGTGGCGTCTCCGCAGGGGCTACGATGACCGCAGTTGTGGCGCAGATGCTTGCGGAGGAAAGGTTTTCGCCCCCTTTGACTGGACAATGGCTGAGCGTACCCAATTTGTTCTGCTCGGAGACTGTGCCTGAAAGATACCGGCACCTGTGGCTTTCGCGCCACCAGAATACCGATGTGCCGGGACTGACGACCAACGATCTGGAGATTCTTGACCGAAGCTATGAGCCCGATCTTCTGTCTCCTGCTTGGTCTCCAGTCAACTCTGGACCTCCAGCTAAGGGTCTTCCTCCAGCATATCTCCAAGTTGCTGGTTGCGATCCCTTACGGGACGACGGCCTTATTTGGGAGAGTATGCTTAGGGAGAGTGGGATTAAGACCAAGTTGGACGTGTATCCAGGAGTACCTCACGTTCATTTCGCTTCGTATCCCAACTTTAAACTATCTCGGAAGTCCAATCTGGACACCATTGCAGGGATTGGGTGGCTTCTGGGTAAAAGACTTGAAAGAGAAACAATTGATGGCGAACTGAAATCGGCACCAGGAGGTGGCTAGTTAGAGAACTAAGAGAGCTGAGATAAAGAACTTTACATTTCATCATCATAGTGTACGTTTAGCACTAATCGAATGGCAATTTGCAAGCTGAATAGTGTTGGATTCTTTTGTGACGGGATTCAAATACTAACTTTCGGAAAAGTTGCTTTTATTGAAGCATGTCTATGGCGGAAGATAAATTTGATTTGGTACCTAAGAGGGTTGACTCATGATCTAACGGCGACCAGCCGGCGGCTTCGCTCCTGTCCCAGGCCGCGATTCGATAATAGAAAGGATATCATCTGCTACTGGAGCAGGCGATGCCGCAACGTGCAGAGATTCCGGGAGACCACCGACTCCCATCATGGTAATAATTACTTCGTATTCAGGAATTTCAAAAGCAGAGCGTAAAGCCTGGTCCTGCTCCTTATCTGCAGACCAGTTCAGCATGCGCGTACCCAAGTTGTCGGCGTGTAGTGCGAAATTGAGTCCCATAGCGAAGAGCCCACCGTCAATCCAAGCTTGGTTGCGCTCGCCAATGATGTCAAATTCGCGAATGTCGGTTGTAATTATCAGAACCGCGCCAAGTTTGTGACCAAATCCAGTGTTTCCATGCTGATATTTCAATACGTGGTCTCGCAGCACAGGGTCGTATGCAGCGTAGACGCGCCTCGTCTCACGGTTTACAGCTCGAGGAGTGTGAATCGCGCGGGAGACAGCCAGCTTAATCCGTTCTGGAGAGACGCTCTCGCCTGTGTAATGGCGGATGCTGTGTCGTGTCTGCACAAATCGAGTGTAGTCGAAGGAGGTTGCGTCTTGGACTTCTTTCTTGGTCAATGACACGGCGCCACCGGGGAATAACTCCTTTCCCTCGCTAACGAAGTCACGCAGTTCCTTCTCATAATCCGCAGGTAAGCTGAAATGGTGCTCCTCGTGGAACCGCATATAGTCTTGGATGGTGCCACGGCCACCGCGGGTTGCGACACTGGTGTGCCCGATCTTCTCGAGCGCCCTAACCGCGCGTATAATAAATTCAACTTTCGACCTTCCGAACAATGTGCGAGGTTCTTCGAGTGTTAAGCCCTTTTCGATACTGTGATAGGCCCCGGTCAGCTTTGCAGCCAACACAACCGGGCTAGTGCTATTGTTCACTACACCCGACCATTCCCTAAACTTCTCGAAGTCATAATCATAATTGGCACGGAGTTCTGCCGCCATACCTAAACGGAATAAGTTCTTCATTAGGTCAAAGATTTCCTGGTGGGTAGCAGAGGTTGATCGCAGATGGCACGAAATCTCAGCGGAGGGGAAGTCTCGTACTCATGTTCAGTGCCTCGCGTTGAGGTGAATTGAGGGGCACCTGGAAATTACCCTCTGGTAATGGGTATGACGACGTTAGATCAGTGGATGTCGGCCATGTATCGTGCCTTTACGTTCAACAGCGGGTTGCCCGAATAAGCCCTTATATCTTTTCCTCTTATGGGTAGACACAAGTGGACCAAGGACCAGCTGATGAGCTAAGCATGACAAATGTGATATGGGACACCATAGAAGAGGGGTATTTTGATTAGATCGTGCTTAATGAAGCGGCAAGTGCGGCTCCAGACTAAACCTTTGAACGGTCTGACGCTTTCGAAGATAAAACATATTTTCTTATCTTGCGCTTGGTTGGCGGCTGGAGTACGGTACTTTTGCTGAAATGCACAGGAACCCTATGGAATACCGAAGTTGTGCCGAGTGGAAGTGAATGAAGGCTCTCCTCAGGTGGCCAAGGATAGCATCGTGCAGAAGATGATCCCGGAAATGCGTTCGTTACCCGACTTCCCGCGTATATCCGAAGGTGGAACTAGACGTAAGAAGACAGCCCTTCAGAAGGCGAATCTACAACGGCACGATGTCTGCTGTGCTGAATAATAATATGATTCCCAAAAATAAGAGTATCTCCTTTGGGCTACTCTACTAAGAACCACTGAAGGAAACCCCAGGTGGATCAACTCCAGCTTCATTCGGTGAGGCTGGGATTTACTAAATCATGTTGGCAAGAAATCGAGTGCAAGTTTCGGAGCTGTAATTGCGCAATGCTTGACCGACGGGAACGAGCATTCTACCGCAAGGCTTTTTGGTTTTCTTCCAAGGGATTCGGAGAAACCGGTTGGCTCTTTGCACTCAAAAAGACCCCTGAATGTGGGCCTTTGTGTTGCAACACCCTGTTCAACAGCAACTTCGAAAGTCGGATCCGCGCCATGAAACTTAAGTTATGAAATCTTAATGATAATTCTTATCTACGGAATCCCCAAAGTTATAAAACCGATATCTGGCTGAATGATGAAATTTGGCACATAACGTAATCGGTAAACGAGTGCCGCACCTCCACCCGATTCTTATCTCCAGGTGAGATTCTAGGGCCTTTATGTATCAACGAACCAACGAACCAATTGATTTCCTGTACAAAAACTAATTAGAACTATGGTTAGGACACTGCAATTGTCTGTGTCCTAGACTATGACAATCAGTGCAGCGTTGTGGCGCCCGTACACGTAGTTTTTAGGTGTAGAAAGCCCTGTATTATGCGGTATGTTATCCCGAGCTCCAGAGGTCTTAATCTCCTGCTGAAATCGCCCCTTGCCCTCTTGAATAGAAAGACTGTCTACAGTAGTAAGTTACCTAGTGGATATTTTTTGCTTCTGACGCTGCTTCTCATGTGCGGCTCGTAAATCACGAGTTTCTTGAAACGCGCAAGAACTGCTTCATGTAAAGCCATTTCACTGCTTCTAATAATCTTGTTCATTCGTAGTTCAGAGGTTGTACTCTGTAAGATCTGTTGTATATGCTCCTGGAGCTTTTTATTTACTGTAGATGCCTGCTTTTCACTACCTGATAGTATAGGAAATTTCAGGTATTGGATTGATTGACTGAATGCTTGGTCAACTGTGTATGAAGCCGAATATCTAGCTGGTCGATTGCCCTCTCTAGGTTATGTGGAACAAGTCCAGTAGTAAACTAACCACTGCAGACATTGCTAGTAGTATAGATATCTGTACGCGCATGAGGAAAGTTGAGCAAGCTTTTCGACAGGGGGGCAAAACGTGTGAGGTGCGACGCTCATTTACCGTTTAGTTACGTTAATCCAATTTAGTCATCCCACGAAAGATCTGACGCAAACTATCCAAAAAACTAGTGACCAGAAGCATTATTGGTCAGGCTATACCATGTGGCTGAGGGCCTTGTCCAAGGATAATCGTTGGTGCGGCCTTTTGACCAGAGTCCATTTCGCATTAGTAGAAATCTGCTATATTCTATTGCAAGCCTTCTGTAGTGCTTCCATGGGAAAGGACTAGGTACAGATAGGGAAGGAACTTGAAACTCGGATCCAACTGTTGCAAGCCTTGCATATTTCTGATTCCGTTGTGGCTCACGCTAAAGTTAGCCGATATATTCTGGAATCGTAGTTCCTGACTATCTGCTAATTGTGTAAGACAGATAATCCAAGTCTTATCATTTAAGATATTAATCCCAGCGCTCACAAATCCTGCTATCCCGGTGTTCATTACTTAATCTGCCTCACCAGAGCGAGAAATCCGGCGTCGCAAAGCCGCAGTGTCTCAAATATGACACAGTATCATCTGGAAGGCACATTTGTGATATATATTTGACACGAGGCATTTACAAAGAATGTGGCTCTAAGAATTGTACGATAATTCGGGGCATGCTTTTGATAAGTTCTACTTAGAATTTCAGTAATTCCAGGCCTGCAAGGAATGCCGCGGCCGTAGGGTGTAAGATATATGTAATACCTTTACTAACTTCTACAATATCCATCAGATCATCCTTGCTCTACTTACACCAAATATAAGAGACAGTATATACCAGCTTAGACTTCTTCCATTTCCTCCACACCGGACCTAATTTCAAAATCCGTGTTGAGCTACAATTCACCAGATTCTGCACCAACTTTGTACGAGCGGAATTTTTGCTCTATCATGTTTGAATATGCTCTGAAGGCTTAGCAGTTTAAGCCCATAATATCAAATTGTCCATGTCAACGTATATGTGACTAAGTTCGATACGTGGGTACATTCTAAACCGACCGAAGGAACAACCACCGAGCTCCTTAGAATACATCTTTATCATTTTTTGTGGTTTAAAGTGTATGTTAGAAACCCTCAGAAGCTTGAGCTCCTCAATACACAGTTCAGGATGGCATTGCGTGACATAATCCACGTGGAACCTTTGAAAGTCTGACGGACGGTGACTATGTATCGGTTGAAATTTGCAGTCACATGAAAAAGAGGGTTTAGAAATTGTTTTACTCTCCATAACTGTTGTGCGTTGCCTGGTCGATAAAGCAATCAAACTTGATAATTACGGTGGTGATCGTCAGCTTGAAGAGAGGGGGTAGGACTATGCGTGAGCGAAAACAAGTATGCATGTCAGACTACTATGTGGAATTTCAAATTTCATGGGGTCAGATGCAGCGCTCCACTACTATTTAATATTAAAAACTTGGATTTATCTCGGTGCAGCTTTCCACGGTCGTAGAGATGCCCAGACTATAGAAAAATGTGGGTCTTTGTTTACGTACCCTTTCATAGTAGCCGGAGTAATTTGCACGATCTCGAGAAACGGTAAAGTAAACTTTTAGACACGATGATGAGCGTACATCTATGGCAAAAGTAAGTATTTAGAAGGAATAGATGCAAAAATTAAATAGAGGTGGAAGAGGCGTGCAAAAGCAAATGTTTGGAAGGAACGGATGGAAAGGTTGAACAGAGGTGTAAGAGAACAGCGACCGAATATATATCATCTGTGGCACTTTCGGTACTCACGAAAGCTGATGTTGGAGGAGATAATAGGTTTTAGTAGTCCAGTATAATCGTCTTTAGAAGCGCAATAAGGTGTAGGATCAAAGATGCAGGAAGCGGCGGTCGTATGATACAACCTGTCTATTCTTCCACAGCGCAAGAACTCAAGGCTATATCCAACCGAAGAGATATCGATGTTTTCAACCAGTGCTAAGTCGGCTCTTTCATAGCTACACGAGTTTTAATCTCGTGTTTCGTTAAGTGTGTCTTTATCGACGGTCTTCAAATCTGTCTCTTCATTCTCTGCAGAGACTTTCTCTGCCGGCTTCTTCACGCTGCTCCACTTGAGGGCCGCAGCCCCGAGGACACTCAAATATGTCGGGATCAAACCAACGCGGAACAACTATCTCAATGCATCATTGTATGCAATAGGAGCAGTATTATCTGTGCTGCTTGCTTGGCAAATTTGAAGGCTGATTCTAGGTGCTCCTCCTAGTCATAGGAACCTCCTGCCTCGGCCCCTCGTCATTTATACCCCACTGATAAAACATGGCCTTTGAATACGTATTTTAACTCCTCGTATTTAGTAGTAGCCAGAACTATATATCTTATCAGATGATAGAGTACCTCTGGCTTGTATACTAGCGGGCGAACCGAATATAAGAATAAGAAATCAATGTAATGAATTAAAATGTTACTATATGCAGGACCGGTGTTTGATCAATTATATCCTCACCAAAAGTGACCAAATATCAACTTCTAAAACCAATGTCCACAAAAAACAAAATACCATTCAGGCCTTGCTCTTCCACGATCTCACCCGACAAAGATAGTAGATAGCAAAAGCAAAGGCAGCATTGAAAGCAATATATGCCCAAAGGAGCCCAAAGTTTCGCCACCGCTGGTCATAGTATATATCCCGACTCGCCAGAAACTGATCAGCGGTTTGAAGCGTACAATACTTGCATTGGTCTGTGCTCTCCGGGTTGAGAAGCTTACCTGCGGCAGTACCGGCCGCTTCGAGGTAGGCTTCCAAGTATTGCCCGCATGTATCATAACCAGGAGCAACACTGAAGACGCTTAGTTCCTTCTCGGAACAGTTAACCGCACGACCGCTCACACCTGAGGCAATGATGGCATTCACGAGGTAGGTCATTGGCGAGATGCGATACATGAAATCCCAGAAACCAGGAAGCGCGACGCGAGGAACGAGGATTCCGTTGAAGACAAGTGTCATGTTAAACAGCATGGTGGCAATGAGACCAGCTGTCTCGGCATTAGGCAGAACGGCAACCACCGCGTGCGCAAAGGTCGACCCGTAGATGAAGAACTGGATGATCAAGAGGAGCATGATCCCCTGGCGCTGGGAGTCTGCGATGCCGTAGACGGGATACACAAAGCTTGCATAGACCAGGATAGCGACGAACATTTGGTAAGGGATCTCAGCTAGTAGATTGGCGCCTAGGAAGGCTGCCCAGTGGTAGGTCTTCGACGGTTGTTCTCGGACCTCATAAAGGTCTCGCTGGAAAATAAACTGCGGCATGATCTGTTGGACCAGAGCGGTGAAGATTGCTGTGATCATGAACACGGAGAAAATGGACGATTGTAAGCCTTGTTGAGAGGTACCGGGAATGTAAAACGAGAAGCCTACGAAGACTATGAAACGATAGTTAGCCAAAGGTCAATGGTGCCTTAAGGGCAAGAGTAACTTACGGGCTGACAGGATGCCCAAGGCCAGCTTGCCATAGATGTATTCGGGAGACCGCCAGTACTGTTGGAAAATCCGGCGAAGGACAGCAGCGAACTGGTCCCCGAAAGGCATTGCAAAGGCGTCTTCAGTTCCTTCTGATTCACCTTGGTTGTCGGTATTATTCGTGTATCCCACGGCTGAACACTTCTTCTCCAGAGCACTCATCATTTGGGTAAATTCGGAACTTTCCTTCCACACAGTCGGCCAATCCTGTTCGGCTTTACCATTCACCCCTGCACCTGCAATCTCGAGAATGTACTCGGCTGGATTCTCAGAGTCGTTGCATCTCCTCGCACCTTTTGTCTCGAAGTAATCCAGCATTGTACGCGAATTTGGTCCGATATCACCAAAGTAAACGGTACGACCGCCTTTAGCCAGGAACAATAACCGATCAAATTGCTGGAACAGCATGGCTGATGGCTGATGAATCGTACAAAGAATAGCCTGTCCACTAGATGCGAGCCGACGCAAAAGCGCAATAATAGTCCATGAAGACTGGCTATCCAAGCCGGAGGTTGGCTCATCGAGGAAGAGGAGTAAAGCGGGCTTTGCGGCAAGCTCAACGCCGATGGTCAGAAGCTTCCGTTGCTCGACATTTAACCCTTCGCCCGGAAAGCCTACCACTGCTTCTGCGAATTCTTCCATTCCGAGCATGGTGATGACTAGAACAACTTTAGTAGATTTCTAGAGCACTTGAAAGCGTCTAAAAATACCTTTTTCGACAAAGTCGTATTTTTCCTGTACGGGGACTGATTTAGGTTGACGCAGCAGGGCCGAAAACCTTAGAGACTCACGAACGGTCGCAGTATGAAGATGCAAGTCCTGTTGCTGAACATAGCCTGTGCTGCGCTGGAAGCTAGCAGAGAGAGGAGAGCCGTTTACTAGCATATCGCCTGTGATGACTCCTGTTGAAGTACGTTGGGCGAGGACGTTCAGTAGTGTTGTTTTTCCAGCCCCCGACACACCCATCAATGCAGTCAGGGTGCCAGGCTCCACCCATCCACTGACTTTATCCAACAAGCGGCGCTCCTCCTTTTTGATCTTGATATCATAGCAGACTTCACGCCACATAAATGTGTCCTGATGCGGTGGCATTACCGCTTCGCCTGCCGCCTCTTGTCCTTGACTTGCGCTGATATTGGCGGCCTTCGGGTCTTTTGCAGATTTCTCCAAGGCAACGGGAATGCGACCATGTTGGAAGACAAGACTCTCCGCCGTGGATGAAGAATGTGAGTTGATCTCAGTGAGTAACAGATACAAGGCGAGAAAAGCAATGATGAAAGCGCAGAGGATACCGAAATTCCTCCAAAGGTGGCTGTATTCGTACCCGTAGCTCACGGAGAGAAAGTTGTCTCCGTTTACATATAGCTCTCCAGCTACCGCACCCTTTGCAGCACATATAAAGTAGGTACCTGATCCGTTAGTCAACCCGGGGTAGAGTGGTACCAGGTCCGAACAGGGGAAGTCACGTCCGTGGAATTCGTTCACAGCCAGCGCTTCAAATGCATATCTTAGTGGATTGATGTAAGAGATCCACTTGAACCAAGGGTGCATGCTGGGTAGGGGAAGCAGGTAGCCGGTATAGATAACAGTGGCGAGTAGTATGACTCCGGCAGCAGCGAGTGCCTGAGGGATCGCCTTAGTCGCCGCAGCCAGGGAGCGAAAGATTTGACTCATACAAAGCAGAGCCATGGTGACAAACAGGTAGAAAACAAAGAATGGACCAGCCTCGTATCGAAACCCGCACATGAAGTAGAACACGATGTTGAATATAAGGCTGCATCCAACCTTTATAGGGATATCGGCACAAACTCCCGCTAAAGCCTCCGTGAAAGGGTGATAAAAGGCATACGAAGCCTGCTTTTCAACGATCGGCCGCTGAGCATAGAGATTTTGAATCTCGGTGACGGTCAAAAGCGAGTTTAGCAGAATGGCAAAGAACAATGCTGACATCTTCAGAGTGAAATCCTCGGTTCCGAACGCGCCTCCATAGAACAGAGACCCAATGATGATGGAAAAAACGATCTGACCAATCATCAAAGTTAATGTGGAAGGAATGTCATTCCAAACACGTTGGTAAAACCGGGAAGCACATATCCCAATCTGTGTCGGGATATCGATCAAATACGGAGAGCTTGATCGTGCGTACCGAGCCTGACGTTTGGCATGACTTTGCTTAAATGCTTCGGTGGCGCTACAGTCAGCACCAAATTTCGCCTCGTGGCTTGAGATGTCATGACCCAGCCGCTTGTAGCTCGCGCTGCTCCTCCAGTGCACTTCAAACTCCTCGGGAGTCCGCGGGACCTTTTCTTCATATCCTTCCCGTGCTTGCCGCTCACTTGGGTTGGTTATACTCGTAAGAAAGTCTGCGGTCGTTTGCCTAGCAGGACAATACCAGCCCATATCTTCGAAATAATGCTTCGCTTCCGTGGTAGGGCCAAAGTATATCTCATGCCCTTGGTAGAGGACCATAACCTTGTCAAAGCAATTGTATACGGCTTGCGAGGGTTGGTAAAGTGTCGCAACATGAGTAGTACCAAAAATCCTGGAGCTCGTCTTTAGCGCCTTGACGAAGTCCAAAGACGACGCAGAATCTAGGCCGCGTGTAGCATTATCCCAACAACAGAGTGGCGAGCCAGCCAAGGCCATTTCTGCGATAGATACTCGCTTTCTCTCACCTCCACTGACGCCCCGCACAAAGTCAGAACCAACTTTCGTGTTGACGGTATGTGACAGACCGAAGACTGCCATCACAACGTCCCTTATATGCCTGATGTATTCCTTCCTCGACATTTCATTCGGGAGAAGTCGAGGGGTACGTGCTGTTGCTGCGAAGTTGAGTGTTTCGCCGACCGTTAGATGAGGGAAATCTGTCTTCCAATTAGTCTTATTCCTAAATGATCAATTGAATGACCTTACGTTTCTCAACTTCCTGGTTATAGAGAAGCTCGCCCTTGAAATTCTTCTTCATCAAGGGTTGTGGTATTCCACTGTAAGAAATGACTGAATTTGATGACAGGTCGAGTCCGTTCGTCTCCGCTGAAATGGTTTTCAGCATGGTAGAGCATCCAGCTCCTGGCCGGCCGAGCACGAGAAGCATCTCGCCCTGCTCGACGTGTCCATGAACATCGTGTAGAATTGTCTTGGCGGTTTTAGGGCCACGACTGAACGTACCCCCCAGGACGGGAGCATAGACTGAGGATAGAACTGTGTGTTGAGTTTGAATCTCGGATCCGCTTCCCTGCACAGTAACATCTCTGAATACAACTCCCGTTTTCCGTGCGCTGCTGTCCCCTTCGAATTGTTGCACCTGATGAAGCATCCATTGGGATAAGTCGAAGTGAGGACTTGTGGGGTCTATGAGCGATGCAAAGTCCTGCTTCAAGCTTCTACCTCCTGCGGTTGATGCTGCTGATTGTCGAGACGCTATTTTCCTGAGCTCTTCTTGCTCGTGTCCGGACAACGTGCTGGTGGAATTATGGTGTTCTTTTTCCTCATTGCCACGCCCCTCAGGAGCAGGTTCTGTAAGCATGCTGATCGATGTATAAGATACACTAAGACAGTAGAGAATTCAGCCGAGGGTGTTCAGCGGTCTTTGAACACATATATGAAAGGCTTGTCATGAAGATTGAGGTATCGCGGCGCCAACGACCCTCCTTTGAATATATTGTATCACTAATCATCGTTCGGTGACGAGACATCTCTCGGCAATTCTAAAATCGGGATCTCGTTTTCCGAAGAGCGAAATAAAAAGATAGTAATAGTGATATCCCGTATCTGCAGTACCCTGCCCACTCAAATGGTGCTATGATTTGGTCAGGCTCCCGAACTTGCTGTTGCAACAGAGTTGGAATCGAGAGCCGAAGGTGTGGGCCCACCCGACCTTCGAAAGCCGATATCATGTGACCTCATATAGTGTCCCGTCATCGGACTTCGTGCTAACTATTTTATTTTCGATTTAATAACACAGCTTTAATGATGACCCACTTATTCCATAGCGAGTGGGAAACTGCACCCCTAATTTCACGTTTTTGGAAGGGCGTATGCGGAGTAGATTTCCACAACATTACCACAGTGCAATGGTAGTATTGTGTCTTGTCACGGTCGAGATATTCATATGTATAGTATCGTCTTAGTAATTTCAATGAGTAGCTATTGATTCGCTTTTATCGAGTACCAAAATGTTCAAGATGAAACAGAAGTTTTGCTCGGGGTATCTCGGCGTTTTCTTGCGCATCACTGGATGATCAAGACCCGCGCTGGCGGGTCTAGAATCCGCCCAGGCAAATATTGTACTACTAGTATATTTCACCCGTCCATTTAGAATTCACTTATCTATCGTCATTAATTAGTTACTTCAATCCCTGTTGACAGTTTTATGATTGATACAAAGGCTAAGACAACACGTAAGAACCTCTTGTCTATCATTCAACTAGACTTACAGTTCGACTACGCACTGCATATAAGGTTCTGGGCGTAAGCCTATAACGAATCCATCGTCGGCAATTTGCGCCGAAGTGCGAAGCTTCTTTGATTCAATGACAGTCTGTCACTAATAAATGCACTGCTCATCATGCTCGTTCTAAGCAGTTGGGACATGGCAGAGAAAGCGGTAGTTTCATGCAATGTACTAGCCCCCAACGCCCTTGCCATTCCTTACAACTGTATGCCGCGGAGTTCACTCATAGGCGGCAATTGCACTGGAGAAAGCAGCGTCAATCGAGGCCAGAGTCGAGGCGATTGTCGAGGCATCCGTCGTGGTGGCCTTCGCCTCCAGGTCCGCCCCCAGCTCGTCCGTGTCGGTCTTGAGCGTCTCCAGGGAGGAGAGCAAAGTGGAAGTGACTCCCGCAGATGCCGCAATGGACTCCTACAAGTGGACATTAGCCCTACTATAACATATCACAGAAGCCCCGCCAACTTTACGGAACATACCTTCGAGATAAGATCATCCAAGGTTGCGATGATGATTGTGGCTAGCGAAGTTACTTCAGTTGTGATGCTGGAACTCTCCGAAGTAGTAAATGGGGAAGCAGCCTCGGTATCAGTGATGGCCGTCTCCAAAGCACTCTTGACGGTGTTGTAATCGGATAGAATGCCTAGCGCTGCCAGAAGGTCTCCGGTCCAGTTGATTACGTCCGTCTTCAGAGTAGTAACATCTGTTCCAATAGTCTCCAGATCTGACAGTACTGTCGCAGCATCGCGTCTAGCAATGGGGCCTGCTTGGACGAGACCAAGGCTCAATGCGACGACGAGGAAGGAATTGCAAATCATGGTGGATTGTGGAAAACGATGGTAAGGCAGATGCGTGATGTCTTTAGTGAACTTGTTGGTTTTTCTGTCACAATGTCAGGCATTGTGGGCCTTTATATAGCTCCAGGAAATGGTTCTGCTGTCCCTCACGCTCCTTTCAACGCGGGGTTGATGCACCACTAATACAAAATAGCCACGGATGCTTGTGTCGCTATTCCAACCCACGATGTCATGTTTTCGGCCACAGGGTTGCAATCGGTGAAACCGCTCTTGACACTACTGTTGTTGTACCGCATCCTCACATGTCAACCTCGGGATCATATTCAAGGTGTCCTGTATTCAGGGACGCAGCGCTTGTGGCTGACCGCAGGAGAGGTCATACGTCCCTGCACAGTCTTCTGGTCGGACTGGGCTGGAACTCCGCTTTGGCCCGCCAGAGATGATGCCCATCCATAACTGTCCCTATTATGGCAAGAAACGGGAACGTAGTTGACCGATCCTATCTGCGTGATATATTCACTCAACAATCACGCACTGAAGCATTGGAGAAAGTACTGATCCTTATGACACAAGGGTACTAATCTGAAATTGGTTGACTGTGGCTACCCAGATTCCCCAAGGATTGCTTCGAAGTCTGGGCTAACAAGCAAATAATTAACCCCGCTCGCGCGCTGGCGTGCTAGTTGTATGCAACTTATTCCAAATATCCCCGATTAATCAACTCGAGGACTATGATTGGCGGGGGCTGTTTGTGGCGGCGGAGGAGCGACGGAGCGCACAAACCATCATGAACCGGCCACACATCTGGCAGATCTATTGAACATGCTCCGTGTCGAATTCCACAATGATGGCAGTAGGCTGCAGTTAAATGCGGGGGTGGTAATCCACACATTAACTCGACGAATTTTTTTTCACGTCTGAGCGTATGCAAATTAGCAGGTGCAAGCAGATCTGAGGACAGTCAGTAGGTAGAGTTTTGGAATGTTGCAGTGGTTTTTCATGTTTTCCCTATAGATAATGGACCTGATTCTGGTAGATAGGACGTTGTAGAGTTGCAATAAGGCCTTTTCAGCGAGTCCTCATTACCTTGCTTGTAGCATATCCCAAAGGCAGTCGCAAGAGACATGTCATATGTGCTTCCAAATGGCCTGGTGGGTATTAACATATCCTTTAGGACGATACTCTTCCGGTCGTTCCTGTTGTGAGGCTCTCAACGTACCAATCAATCCGCACTTGAACCATTATAGACGCTAGTCATCATTGAACCCTATATAATATATTGTTCAGCTCGATATGAAAGAATGACAACTCAAATATTAGACCCTTCGACAAAACTTTGCTGCTAAGCTAATGATCCAACCCTGTTAAAAACTTTCAATGGAGTGGGCATATTCAAGACCATCTGCGCATCCTTAATAACATCCATCCGCACAATAGTCGAGACGCCGAGCTCGTTGAGGAGTTGACTCAACGGACCTTCGTTCCGAGCGAGCTTGACATTGGTAGGGAAAAGACACTGTGTCGCCAAAAGGGGGTTCGTCTGAACAGCCACCTGGTACCATTTCCCGTCAATCTTGTTGACCGCGTTATTAGTCCCAATTTGTGATTCTGAGGGAATGGTCCTCAACGCTGGAAGGGGTACATTCAGTGTCAGATCTGGTGTTCCGTTGGTCGCGCTGATATCGGCCTTGATGTTGTGATCGTCCATGTTCAGGTTAATGTTGGCCATCCACTTAGGGAGTTGATATCCATATATTCCCCTCACCCGAGCAATCTCGGTATCGACTGGAAGAGCCAAGACATAGCCGTAGAATGTGCGGTTCCATATAGAGCTGAGAAGTTGTGTGGAACTGTAACTCGTGCTACCCGGTTGTCGAATGATGATGGCGATCGAGACCTCGTTATAAGGATCATTATCGCAGACCAGATACGAATAAAATGTCAATGCAACTAAACCGTAGCCAGGCAATACTGTGATGGGCTCCAAAGGTGGCGGAAGCTTAGACTTCAAGCGGTCAAGAGGCGCGAGCATGACGAGCTGAACGCTGCTAGTGCGATAGTAGAAGTTGGGTGCATATACTTGACCGACCCTCGAGTCAACCAGTTTTTTAGGGATTTTCCGCAGGAATGTAATATCGTGTCCGACATTCGGGTCCTGGGCTACCTCATCGAGGTTCGGGTTCATACGGTAGCGGTCATAGTAACCTCCTTTGGGTATATCGACCTTCTGACCTCCAAATTCGACCTGCACAGTTTGTGATGCCGAGCATCTACCCTCAGATAGGAGTCATTACTGCTTCGGAAAAAGGGATGTTTGATTCACATACGTTGTGGTGAATTTTTCTGATGCTGCTGAAAAGCGGTCTGATGTCGAAGACATGATGTTACCGGTAGGTCGAACGCTAGACCAGGATCTGATGATGTCAAAACTGGCGCTGGTTGATGTAGGTGGTTACAGGGTTGATATATGCCCCGAGATCCCTCCTCGCCCCTCTATGACCATCTCGGGGGTCGGTTGTGGGTGGACTTGCGATGAGAAAGCCGGCATGTGAGGAACACTGAGGCGGACGATGGGTAGAATCAAGCAGAATACTACCGAGGCCCGATATAATCATCGATATGAGTTTGATAGTTCCGATAAGCACGACAACGGAGCAACATCATTCCGGTGGCACATATGAAGCGACTTTCTGGGTACTGAATATTCATTTGTCATGGCATGGAAACAGGAAGAAGGCCAGTACGTAGCTGTACGTGGGCTAACGTTCTAGGCAACTCTGTCTTGGCGGAAAGAACGGCTGGATCCTCAACAGGCCCACTAAATAAGCTTTCGCATTTCGGCAAGTGAAGACTAGACACCTTGAGACTTGGTGAGAGAATAAGAGGCAGCGGGCGGACAAACCTTATACCTTGGAGCGCATTACTGTAAGTGTGACATTGGGAAGCTACAATAGCCTAGTAACGTCATGACGACGTACGGGAGGAATTTACAGCTTACCAATTCTAGGCCAGCATAGCTGGGCAGCTGATTTTATAAAGCTGCGAATTTGCACACACACAATCCAGCGTGTCAATCCATAAGAGTCAGATGGTTTCAGACATTGAAAGTCCGTCCAAATTGCCTATTATTACTCCCATAACTCCTCACAAACATGCCGCACCTGAAACTTCGTGATGGGGCAGAACTCTTCTACAAGGATTGGGGAAATCTCAGAGGACCAATCGTAACCTTCTCCCATGGCTGGCCCTTGAGCAGTGACAATTGGGAACAACAAATGATGTACCTCGGTGAACACGGTTACCGGGTTATTGCACACGATCGCCGTGGCCATGGACGATCAACTCAGACCTGGGACGGAAACAACATGGACACCTTCGTCGACGACTTAGAGGAGCTTTTCGCGCATCTCAAGGTGCAAGATGCGGTCATGGTTGGACATTCTCATGGAGGAGGAGAGGTCACCCATTATCTTGGAAAACACGGCACTAAGCGCTTCAAAAAGGCTGTTTTGATCGGCGCCGTACCTCCTCTGATGGTGAAGAGTAGCGGCAACCCAGAAGGAACAGAAAAGTCGGTTTTCGATTCTTTCCGGCAGGCCATGCGTCAAGACCGCGCGCAGTTCTTTTTGGATGTTCCCAGCGGACCATTCTTCGGTTTCAACCGACCTGGAGCAAAGAAAAGCGAAGGACAGATTCGTAGCTGGTGGCAGCAGGGGATGAACACCAGCTTCAAGTCCGCGTATGACTCGATCAAGGACTTTTCTGAAACAGACTTCTCAGAAGATCTGAAGAGAATCAATATACCAGTACTGGTCCTACATGGAGACGACGATCAGGTGGTTCCCATTGAGGCAGCGGGGATGAAGTCAGCAAAACTTCTTCCTCAAGGAAAACTGAAGATTTACAAAGGCGGATCCCATGCCATTCACAATATTAATGTTGATGAAGTCAATCAAGACCTGCTTGACTTTATTAAATCCTAAGTTCAATGGCTTTGGTATGTGATACTTTGCGATAGTGTCTATTTCATGTGCCAATCTAGCTTCTTGAAAACGCTGGCTCTATCAAGGAGACCATCGATACCATTCTACATTGGCATATGAAGCTACCATTGGCTAGCTGGCGAGGGTACACTATGAACGCATTGCAGAATATATATGTTAAAGTAACTTTTGATTATGTTGTCTTTTCATTTTTTCCTTCGATAGGGTGCGGCAGTTTCGATATGTTCATTAGTCCTGGAGGAGCAATGAAGGCAGGGTGGATCCAGGGAAATACTCCCGACGACATAGACGATTACTATAGCATAAGCAACACCAAGGAAACAAACATGGCCTGGCCTGTGCAGTTGTAGAATCTACCAGACAGGAGCATATACGGGATCGTGACTTTCAAATTCAGACTTTACCTCTGACATTATAGAACAGCTTCGCCACTGGCAGACACGTATTATGTGAGCGACGGGAACCATCTTCGGATATCTCATAGTGTGCGGGTCCAGTGGGCATGCGTACGGCGGTTAATAGCGGGCACATCACCTTGGTACCGCAGTGGGCTTAACCGCATTGAGGCAGGCTTGCGAGTCCACTTGGACCCTCTTTCAACTCTCGTAATGACGACTCTTTCCATGTCATTCGGAACGATTGTTGCTCCGTCGTTAATCTTCCTGAGAACCGTTCAAAAGGAACATATAATCATATATTGCCTCGGTCGCCCTCTTCCTTGCGCACTATTTGTACACTCAGTACGCAGTCTAAACTGCCTTTGTTTCATCCTCTTTCCTTCTGCCATTTATTGTTACACCTCCACTAATACTCAATATGGAAATGTTGTCCCTAAATATATCAACCTACTCGAAACCATCCGAGTATCAGGTCTCGAAATTGCCCACTCCAACGCTAGTCAACTCAAAGGATGTGATAGTCAAGGTATACGCCGCTAGCATCAATCCTATTGACGTCAAGAGAGCCGATGGCGCTTTGAAACTCGCTGTGAAAGACCCGTGAGTATAAGCTTTTGCCATCAATCAAGATGATGCTAATACAGTCAGTTTTCCCTACAAAATTGGCTACGATTGTGCCGGCGTTGTTCAAGAAACTGGGCAAGATGTAATAAAGTTCAAGGTCGGAGACGCTGTGTATATTAGACTCCCTGAAGTTTCCCGGGGTAAGTGTCTGGTACTCGATGTTTCTTATGGCTCGACTTACTGAAAGCGTAACACAGGATCATGCAGCGAATTTATCAGATGCTCTGAGGAACATATCGGTCTTAAGCCGCCATCGCTGTCTTTCGAGGAAGCAGCTTCAATGCCATTAGCCGCAATGACCGCCCTCCAGGCTCTTCGCCTATATCGTGGTGACCTTGCCGGAAAAACTGTCTTTGTGCCTGCTGGATGTTGGACGCCTTATCAACCTCATGTATCGCTCAATCAGCTAACGACATATAGTGAGCGGGACCGGCTTATTTGCATGCCAACTTGCCAAACATGTATTCCATGCGGGTAAGGTCATCACTACTGTATCGACCGCAAAAATCTCAAAATTAAAAGAACTCCTGGGCGAAAACACTATTGATCAGGGTAAGAGCCTACAGTCACTTGCCATCTCTGCATCATTCTCTAAAAGTACCGCAGTGATCGACTATACGAATTCCGACCCCAGGGATGTGATTGAACATGGAACAATCGACTTTCTCTTTGACACCGTTGGCCTTTCTATGGAGCTATTGTGTCTGATGCGGCCAGGATCGAGCCGTATTGTATCAGTCTCTACTCTACCTTCTGGAAATCAGCTACAGGCTTCACCTCTCATGGACCTGCCTCATAAACCCACTATTCCGTTCGCCTTTCGGATGGGACTCAATCTCGCTGATCAGGTTCGAAAGGTCAGAGCACGCCGTTATAAGACAGAGTATTCCTACATGTTTCTCGTATCGTCTGGCAAGGACTTGGATGAACTGACGCGGTATGTCGAAGATGGGAGACTCAAAACAGTGGTGGGATCAGTCGTCGACTTGCAAGACATTGAAGCCGTGAGAAAGGCTTGTGGGACTGTTTACAGCGGTCGGGGAGGATTGGGGAAGCTGGTAATCCGCGTTCGCGGGTCCGAGTAGCGACCTTTCATCTTTTATCGTGTCGACGGGGGGTTTATGGGGGTATGCGGCACGTGGCCTTTCAGACGATGCACCACGCTTCGCCTCATTGTTATAATAGACTTAGTAATTCTTGTTGTTCCTGCCATAAGGTGGCTTGGATGTGTTAGGGAGTTGGCAGAGTCAAGCTTCAGTCTGGTTGCATACCTGTAAATTGTGCAACTATCTAGCAGTGCTTTTGTACAGTCCCTTGCTTGCCCGATTAAGTCCGATCTAGGGGTCTCTGATCGCAAACCGACAAAACATCTCGACACCCCTGGCCACGACTACAGTAACAGCTTATGTAATACTATAAGCGAGTCTTCTGCTGTAAGCCAATATCACTCGAAGCCTTTCGGAGGAAGTAATTTCGAAGTCTAGGATGTAAAACGTGGTGTCTCGTTTTTGTGGCTATCCGGTAGCATATTTTATCGATAATTATTTGAGGGATACGTCTTGCGGCAAACTTTGACTTGGCATCCCCTATTCGAAGAAAACATTAAGACAATGGTACTAATCCAGCTCCGGATTTTACTACCACGAACCTTTCTTTCTTATTTTTTTTTTTTTTTTTTTTTTTTTCTTTTTTTGTTCAAATCCGTTCAGCCGGACTTCGAATGGAGAGCCGAAGGACGTGGTGGGTCAATGTTCGAAAGCCGATGTCACGTGATGGGGGCTCCCGGGCTGCCGTCTTTGGCTCCGAGTGCCGTAGAGTGGTGCTATCATCGGTCTTCGTCCTGCGCAACTTCCGTAACCCGAGGCGCAACAATGGCCGACAGGCTTCAACCCCGCGTTGCTAAGTCTTGCGACAATTGCAAGGCAAGGAAAACTCGCTGCATACGTGAGTCCAGCTCTGTCCCCTCTTGCTAGTTCCTTTTACAAATCTATTCCCCTTATGTCACATACCTGTCTCCAGTTGACGACAGTAGCCTGGGCGGCCGACTAATCCTGCGCGGTAGGCCCTTCAAGCAGCGCAGTCTGCACCCCTTGCCAGGTGGGTTCAGCGGTGTGCTCGGGTCTCCAGGAAGAGTGTAATCAATATGACGCTTATGAACCTTGAGGTTTGATAGAAACGCAAAGTTGAGTGTCACTACAGCCTGACACGCAGACAATTGAGGCCAAAGAAGTCAGAAGACATCTCAAGTCCAGGTACATGACATAATTAGTCGAGAGCTCATTTTCGATGCTGATACATATTTGGGTAGCAACTGTACCTCCATCGAATTATAATGTCTCCTCAGCTGCATCTGTGTCCACGGATGTCTCGGCATCTTATGTTAACCAAATTCTCGTCGATAAGAATGCAGATGGCAGGAATCGCGAGGCATGCTCCATGTTCAAGGTGACGTGCTTCTGCTTCTGCTTCTGTTCCCGTACACAGCTAATATGCGCAGGCTCGTGAGAACCAAGGTAATCAGTCGTCTAATCCCATTGTCATAGCGCCCGCTCACTTCTGGCTCAGTCCTCAGTACTGGCATGGCCTTTTTTTCGGAGAGCCACATCCACTCCCTGACAAACATGCTGGGCCACGGCAGATTAAGAGATGTACTCGATGCTATGGGAGAAGCTATGCATCAGCATGCACATGGAATCAGCATCGATTTCAACACTCCCGCATCACCAGCTCAAATTTCCCATGAGGAGGCGGCTCATTATATCACAGGTCAGATTCTCGTCTTTGTTGTTGTGGGTCAAAGTTCTAACGCGTAGACTCAGTTTATTTTGATGAATTACATCCCTTGACACCCTTTCTGGACCGAGCCGACTTTGAGCGGAAAATCTCGGGGCCAGAGTTACCGGAGTTATTGGCAAACAATGCTTCATTCTGTGCGCTATATCATACTTTGCTGGCACTTGGATGTCAGTATATGGATGGTGGATCTTTCGTTCCAGGCAAAGGGAAAGCATGGAAATACTTTCAGGTTGCATTGAGCCTGTTCCCAAAAATACTTGCTCCACCTCAAACTTTACTTCACGTCCAAGTGCGTATTCTTCACCCTATTCTGGATTCAAGCTGACAGCCCAACCAGGCACTGGCAGCCATGGTGAGCCGAGAAGGTAATGCAAACATCATTCATTTCGCTAAATAATTCATAGGCAATCTTCACAATGAGCTTCTCCTGTATTCCGATCGGCGAGACCTTGATGTCCGAGGCCGCAAGAATAGTTCAATTGCTGGGATACAACGCCGCATACGTTCAAACAGAGAACGAAACATTGTGTCATAGAGCTTTCTGGGTTATTTGTTGGCTGGAAAAAGTTACTTCCTTTTTCCGAGGCCGTGGTTCTGTAAGTGTACTTACATTCCGATGCCTTCTTGACTAATGGCAGTTGTAGATGATACCCGACTACGACATAGGCTGTCCTGTTCCAGCATGTTCCGAGACTGCCCCAGGACAGCTTGATTGGCTATCAACGACAGCACGCCTGGGTCGCCTGATGTCTCGCACTTACGAATGTCTGTTTTCCGTGAGTGCGGTCCAGATGCACACAGCTGCCCGCATCGCGGCTGTAGACTCGATGTCTCGCGAGCTAGAAGCTTGGATTCAAACTCTCCCCGAACCCTATCAGCCCGGGACCTCACTTCGCTTCTCAAAGGGCAAGAGCCCCTGCTCGCAAGATATGGCGCTGCAAATACGGTTCATATACTATGCTTTGGTAATGTCTATGTGCCGGCTTCGGATCCATCTTACAAGCGACCAAGCGAATGAGACAAATCAAGAGACCAAGCGTCAACTGATGGAGACCGCTCGGGCTGTTATATATCATACGCGTTATATTGAGCATGAGGCGCACGTTCCAGCCTGGTAAGAGATAGCATCCGGATCCATGTTCTCACAAATTCTAATTGTAATAGGCAACTGGGCGTCGTGCCTATTTCCGCTCTTTTTGTTATCTTTGACTTTGTGATTCATAACCCATTCCATAAAGAGACGGCCACCAATATCTCGTACTTGGACATAGCAGCCGGTTATTTCAGCCGTTGGGAAATCAGTAACAGGGACTCTTTACCGGCATCAACTCCTGCTGAATTTTCTCATATTGCTCGTCAATTTGTGCGGGATGTACAAGCCAGGTTGCAGACCACAGATTCACGAAGGACTTCACGCCTCGAGGCAGATAATTCAGTACCAATGACAGGCGAGAAGAACTACTCCTCCGGATTCGCTGTCGATCCAAACCAGGTAGCGGTATGTTTCCATGATGCTCTCCATTCCACGCCACTCGCTGACTTGACTTCGATCCAGAATGAAGAGTCTCTCATTCTCCCGGACATTGAAGCCTTGTCAGCCACTGGACCAGACCAACTATTTTATCCTGAAGACCCGCTTCAAACATTACTTGGAACGTATATGCCGCCTACGACCGACATATCTAACATGTTCAACTCGACTTTATGGAATCCGTGATCATTGTAATACTAGTGTTCAAGCAATGACGTAAACTTACTACATCGCACACTCAATAATATACATATTGACCGAGGGGCAGACCCAGCAATTCGTTATTATACTATATCGATAGCGTAGGAAGCGAGAACGACATTTCTGTCTAGGCCTCAAATGTAGTAGTATATTAGCTTTAGCCAAAATTCAGCATCTTCCAATTAGTCCTGATGTGGCGACCCAATTTGGTGACCTACATCTGAGCTGCTAGCAACACGGACGGTCCACAGGGATAAAGTGGAGACGCGGCGTCCGGCATTTGGGTGTCGGGACTCGCCTCCAATATGTGGACCCTGATCATCTGCGCGTCTATCCTACTTGTAGAGATAGTCTGAGGCAACGCTAGATAGTCACTAGCTTAGCTCATGGTCATCTGTAGTCCGACAAGTGGACTTGATTTCATACCAGCACCTGAACAAGAAATCATTCATGACCTAGCCGTATAAAACGGCGTGTACGATAGTACCCTGTGTTCCATTAGGCTTAGGACTACAAAGTCAATGTCATGGTCCGTAAGCTACATAGTTAGAGTATAATATCGGATGGTACATTGCCCATTATGTCACGAAATGTGAAGCTGCTATATTACAAGAACGAAACCCAATCACCGCCTGAAGATAACTCTCAGCCCCAGGCTGCGGCGAACTTAAACACTTTGCGGCATCACGTCTTCACGAATCAAGCTAAAGCTTATTTCTGCATCATGCTCTCAACCCAAGTAGCAGCGACCTTGTCCCAGATAGTGGCGTATGCCATATGAGCGGAGAGATTAGTTCCGGCAGCATCGCAAACACCGTCTTTGTAGTCGCAGTAGTCGTGCAGTCTGTCGGCATACATGGAGAGGGCCGCAAGTTGCTCGGCAGTACGGGGGTATTTCTATACGAGGTAGATTATCAGTAGCTGATCTACCCTCCAATTCGTTATGGTTGTAACTTACGCCAGTAGCAGTTACATCCCCGACGTTGTACGTCTGGTTGGGCATATGACGGGGGTCTCCGTAGAGAAGGACAGCGGCGACTAGCAAGCATTAGCGTGTAATGTGTTGACGCACGTGGAAAGTAGTAACTTACTATGGGATCCGGTTTCAGGATCAATAGCAGGAGCCGTGATATTCCCCAAGGTTCCGTTATCACCGCCACCGGCCAACATGTCGCTCACAACCATCGCTCCCTACGCGAGCGTTAGTATGATACTCTTAAAAAAACAAGCCGAGGGACAGGAAGGTACCTGAGAATATCCGAAGAGTACCACCTTGGTTTCCGGACAAGCCTTGACATAAGCCTTCAGCTGAGCAGAGCCATTGTAGATGCCCTCCTCATAGCTGGGGGTCGATCCTTCCTGGGTTGCAGGATAGATGATATTCTCGTAATTGCTGTCTGGAATAGCGTCCATGACCAGATCAGTCAAAGACCCGAGCAGACCAGGATAGCTTTCAGTAGTTCCGCGGGCAAGCATCATGTGCACATTAGCACATGGGGCTTTGCCATTTGCGTGCGCAGTGGAGGCACTGGCAATAGCAGAGGAGAGCAGAGCTGAGGTGACGATGTTTTTGAACATGGCGGCGGGTGAAATTTTTTAGTCGACTAGAAACAAGACAATTGGGTGTAGGATATTTTGAATAAGCAGATAGAGGGTAGATGGGAGTTGATATGATATCTTCCCTGCCTAAACTCCTACGAACTGACTGAGTAGGAATGTCAACACGATGTCGGAGAAATGTGAGCTGCTTGTTACAGCTATCTTGAAGGTGAAGTCCAGACCTTGCGGTGAGTACTAAAATTTCCCTCCACTGAAGAGATACTGCTGAGCAAAATTCATGCTCGAACTCATTGTCAGGATGGAGCCTGAAGCTCTTTGGCAAGGTTTTTGGACCTTGGCTTGTCACGGATCAATGAGAGAACGCGTCAGCCAGCGCTGATCACATCCTCGGTGGTGCAGAGGGGTTGCCAGGTAGTAAAGTGGATCGCATTGTAGAAAATGTACCGTGGGTTCAGGATCTCCGACTATGTGTCATTGTTCGGGGCTAATCTCCTTCCCTGGATGTCGGACTTTGCTGGTTCTCCACTTTTGTTTAAGCCTCGTCCGGGAAAGGGCCCAGGTCCACACCACACACCGTGATCATATCTTTTCAACCACCACTAACCAGCAGGCAGACCCAAATCAACGTACAGTGTCATGCAAATGGTGCCTGGATTTGGATGGTAAACAGGTGGCTACCACCACAGCCTAAGGGCACCTATAGTATTGAAATGCCATGTAGAATGATCAGGCCATCATCAGTTACAGCCCCAACAGCACAGCCACATTTATCGGTGGAGTATCGACCCGAAGCCCTTGCGGGCGAGGGGAGATGATGGCCCACGACTTAGTCAAACCCTGTATCATCTTAGCTTTCCACCAACTAAAGATAAGCAGTGTCAATTGGGGAGAACGCACTAATTAACATTGCGTGTTCAGAAAGTGGGGAAACCAATTCGTACCAAGCAGTGGCCGGTGGTACCTAATCTACAGGTACTCTATGAACATGCAGCTTTATTTATTTTGGGGAAAGTGCCATGTGTTTTGAGCCGAGACATACGCATACAAGCGCTTATTTTCCCCAGAATTTTGCCACTGCAGCTTAGTGTGGGGTCACTAAACTTGCAAGCGTGGACCGTTCTATTGAATGTGATCCCTGTATAGCAGAGATGGCTGCCTAATAATGCAGTCAATCACCGCTGCAGATTTTTCATTAGGCAATATATTGATTCGCACGAGTTCAGTAATAAGCTCTGAGGAATACCAGCAGGAGATGGTTATAGTGAGAATGAACTATTGTAGTGTCAAATAAATTGCAAATTATTTTATCCTCCAGTCAAGGGATACGGATATCGTATCTTCGAAAGCTAGTGGACATTGCATGGAGTAGCCCTGAGTATGAGGGATCAGATTGACACACGGCAATTGTCATCACAACGTGAGCTTACTATACAAGGACCCACCTACTAGCTCTCTAGGCACCCTCATTTCTATCTGCAGCAGCTAGGTCCCAATACTTAGAATACAACCCTTCATCATCTTGCCCTGGACTCTGACTGCCCTCACCATTAACGCGCTACTCAGATTTTCTAGAGCTGTACTTCTCAATAGCATAGACTGCGCTGATATTCAACTCGTGCTGGCCCGCGGTACAAATGAAGATTATCCTGGTACAACTACTCCACGGCAGAATTGGTTGCCGTGAACACCACTTTGAGCACGAACTACGAAGACATTATCTACCACGCCGTTAGGAGAACGGGGTTGGATAACTATTTAGTTTGCCGGGCTGCAGTAGCCAGCCAGGTGAGTGAATTTGCAGTACTCTCATTCCTTCGAGAACTGTCCTGATTCCCTACTCCGAAAGTCGTGTTTCTCTGGGAGCTTTTCAGGTGAAGGCTATATGAACTGGTTTGGATATAACTATGAACAAAGGTGTTTTGTATATCTCGCTATCAGTGAATCCCGTATGTATTCTCATCAACGGCAAAAGCGTGCTTTTTGTATATGGTGTACATGGTATATAAGCTGGACCCATTTAAGCAGTTGAATTACGGACTATCGATGTGTTGACAGACTTTCCAGTTCTTGTTGCGTATAAAGTTTGACTTGCTGGGAAAGGTATTCAGCAATAGTGACAATCTTCTCTTCTTCCAACCGCCTGCCGAATAATTGAAGTCCGATGGGTGCTCCGTGATAGATTTCCGGATCGTCTAATAATGTCAGGATCCCCTTCACATGGGTGTAAAAACGCCTACTTACATTCTTCGAAGATCTTCCGATCCAACTCACTCAGAAATTCTGACCGTTCGGTCATGGACGAAAGATGCTTGTCAGCACAACATATAGGAAATACCAAGCTCGTATAGTCCAGAGTGTTGATAAATGAAGTATATCCGGTATGACGGTATTTTCCCGGGATAACAGCTGCATGAGGCGCGGTTGGGCAGATGACAGCATCAACTGGCCTTCCATTTTTGGTCAACTTGGCCGTGCTGTTCCAATAGTCCATATACTTCTTTTGGTATTCTCGCTTCTGCACGTTCAGTTCCGCTACCTCCCTGGCGTTGAAGTGTTTGACTGGTTCAACGGAGCACTGAGGAATCTGTTCCTCTCCTGACAAGGCAATGTGACTCAGAAGGTCTTCACCACCGTCCATATCGTAGGTTTCGCTCTGCGGAGAATCAGCACACTGCTCTAACTATGCATCCCAGATTTCGACATACCGCGATTTCTTGGCCTTCCCGACACAAATCAGGGTCCCATTCAATGACCTAATACGCGTGTTAGATCAGTGCACCAAAAAGGTTCTTCATCTCTGATTACCTGGTGGCCCGAGTTATTCAGAATGCGTTCCATGAGTTCCATAGCCACCTTCACCGGCGGCTGAGGTTCGACACGTCCATCATGCCGCATGATACCAAAGGTGAGTTGAGAAGATGTACTATCCTTCTTTGTAATCAAGTTCTTCGTTTGATCCTCAACATCATCTCTCCATGGTAATGGTAAAGAGAGAGGATCATACTGCCATGGCTCCTGGGAGAGGATGGCTTTGAAAAGTAACTTCAACCCCCCAATACTTGTCGCCAACGGGCCAATGACCGACAAAATGGTGCTTTGGCCGTCAATGGAGTTCGCTGCGCCTTCATACGGAATTCTTCCTGCAGATGGGCGCAGCCCAAAAATCCCGTTGAAAGAAGCAGGAATCCGAACACTACCACCAATATCGGTTCCGAATCCGGCCGGTGAACCGCGGAGAGCAATTAAGGCCCCTTCTCCACCAGAACTTCCACCACTCGATAGATTGCGATTCTTGGGGTTCCATGTATAACCGATAATTTGGTTTGTGGTCTCTCCCGACATGAGCGTGACGGGAACACTGGTTTTACAGAACAACACAGCTCCGAGATTGCGAAGTTCCCGTACTAGTTCACTCTCTGCCACCCTATGGCGAGGATCATTCTTTTTGCCTTGATATGTGCCGATCCAGCCCACGTAGCCCATGGTTGTGTCGACGCCTTTGACATGGAATTGGTCCTTCAGACTTACTGGAAGTCCATGCAACGGGCCTTTGGGTGTCCCTGTTGCTGCCAGATGCTCGTCGAGCTCCTTAGCAACACGAATGGCATCTTCGAAGAATACCTCATGTAGACAATTGACCTATAATGAAGTCAACAGACCCGATGCATCTCAAAGCCATAAAATCGACGGCTGGATAACATACAAGTTGATGAGCAATAGCAGCTCTATGACAGAAAGCTTCCGTCACTTCGACAGCACTCCAACTTCCTGAGGTGGTTTGACTTGTGATCGCAATAGCATCGGATTCGGTAATCTCTAATTCACGAGGAGTCAAGTACCCCTGGATAAATTCACCCGTGACATCAACTGGTAGGGTGTCATACTGAATTCTCCATTTCTGGGGAATTGCGTTCAAAATAGCCTGGCGTTTAGCCTGGGCTGCCTTCTTCCAGGATGGCATTCCGGAATGCATCATTTCTTCTAAGGTAGCTATTCTGTATGAGATGAGCGGTTGATGGATATACCAGCGCAACACTATTGATTGACTCATCCACAGCGGCACAGTCCATGCATGTCGGAGTAACTAATCGGCCCGATACTGCTTAGTCATTCTTGTGTATACAAACACAACTGCCCTAGTATTAGCATAGGGGAAGAAGCGATTCATGCGCGATTCATGCAGAGAGCATTAATTAAGAAAGAACATACAGTTCCAGACTGCTGTCTGCTTAACAGGGTTACAATGAAAATTTCCGAATTTCGCTCTCAGCATACTGACTGACCCCGTCCGTCTTGAAAAAGGAGCACCTTGAAACTGAGATCCCAGCCAAAAGCGTAGCTCACATAGTCTAGCGTATCTGCAGGGCTCAGAAGTGGCATATGAGAAGTGATTCACCATTTTGCAGAAGATTTCTTCTTCCCATAACCTCCGACTGGGTGCAAAGATCTATTTTGACATAACAAAGAAGAGCCGCGGAAGTGATTCATCACCCCTTGCAGACCGATGATCAGCAATGCCAATACATCGCGAACTTTACTACACCAAAACTTTTGGTCCATGCACATAGTAATATGATCGGGATAGATAGCATGGAAGCACATGAAAGGCAATTCTGTGCTCATCAGACGTTAGTATTGATCACGCCTCATACAAATGGATCCTATAATCACTTCAAGGACTAACGGGTGGCGTCATTGGCAAAGCAAGGGATGTGTGGCAATCATTATCGAGAGGTGAAGATTGGCAATCAGGATATAAGCAGACTATGCAGATCAGCGACGAGTTATAACCTGGGTGCCATGGACAGTAGCTTTCCAAGTTCTAAGCATACCCAGATGAATGCAATAACCTTGGTAGTCGAATTTTCTGCTTCGTGCATTTGGGTTTGCTTTTGGATCAGATCTCTCGGGCTCCCTTTCAATTACGTTTACGTTTATGAATAATGTCCAGGTTAAGATATGAAAGATATCATCTCAGTCGGCAAGGCTTTCAGGAGAATATCTAAGCCTTTAGGGAATCAGGATCCGCACTGTGTAACCAGAACCGATAACGTAAGTTTCTCTGCTCTCCTAGCAGTTTGCGTTGTATGCCGTGTAATCATTAAGCCAATACAAATTCCATCTGCTACAACCAGTCACTACATGAGGAATGCTGCAGTTGCCGGGATTTATCTTGTACACTTGGCCCAAATTACTGATGGCTTGCCCTTTTTATATACCTAGACTGGAGCATATTATTTGT